CATATGTCAGGGTCAAGATCATTGAGATCCGTGTTTGTACATTTTTATCGCGATAATTATTTTACACGCGTGTAAATACTTGCGACCATGTTGCAAAGATCGTCTCTGAAATTAGTAAGATATACAAGTTTTTAAACACAGTATCTTTAATTTGAAGGGTGAATAAGTCGACACCACTGGCAACAGGAAAACCTCCTTTATTAGCACAACGTTTCGGCCATGGGTTTTGGCCCTTATCAAGTGCAATCGAGCTAAATCAAACGGCGCATAGCATGTGGTTAAATGCCATCGGGCACCACTGTACAAACAAAAATATTAATAACTTGACTGACAGAGCTGTCTTACTCTCTGACGACAGTTTCCATGACTCAAATCTAAAACTTGTAAAAGAAATATTGACCAATAATTCCCAACGCATGTCATAGACAAACATATAAAGTGCAGACTGAAACAATTAAGAAATCAAAAGGACAATAAAACTAAACAAACTCCGTTTGACCCTAGACAATGTGTCACCATACCATACATAAAAAACTTAAGCGATAATATTAGCCGCACATTTAACAAATGCGGCATTCAGACAATCTTTACTGTCCCAAAAAAAACTTAATAATATAATAAAAAAAGGAAAAGACAGATTACCTAACAAGAAACAAACTGATTTAATCTATAAAATCAATTGTGGTGATTGTAATGCGTGTTATATAGGACAAACTAAGCGACACCTTGATACCCGAATTAAAGAACATCTCAACGACATAATAGTATATTGTGATACATGTGTGGGAAATTGGCTATTGGCCACGAGTAGCGGGTGGGCGCACAAGTCGACGGCGAGTGCGCCCATCCGCACGAGTGGCCAATAGCCAATCTCCCGCACATGTATCACATACTATTTTCTTTAACAGGCATTATGCAAAACAATGAAACATCTTATGCAGGCAGTATATAAAATCCTTCGGTTTGTATTGCGCAATATAAAGTTCAATATAAAGGACTTATGCCCGGCTTTTCATTTTCTTAACAAATAACAAGAAAATAACTAGAAGTCAGTCGACTCTTCATCTTTTTCTGTATTATTGTCTAAGAAGAGACAGATAATTGACTAGCCTCTGGTCAACATTTAACGAAAAAATAAAAAACGGGTCTAAGTGATTTGCTAAACCGATATTAATCGGTGTAAAAGAAACGATCTTAGCTGGGTCAATTATTAACTCGACACATGCAGATTGCTTTTTACAGAAAAGCATGTTTTTGCCAACCTCACGTATCTGTTTACTGATGTTAGTTAAAATAAACAACAAGAAGTTATATTGAAATTGTATTCCTCACACGCCGACGTGGAGAAACCAACGCAGAATTACCGAAAAGCGTTTATTATTATCATTATGAATTATGATAAGTTGCATTTTATACCCCGTTCGCCTTGAAGATTTGCGCCGTAAAGATCGACTGTCAGTTTCTAATTTTACGCAATGGTCTGTCACGATAGGATCTTTTAAGACCAAAAAATTCGATAACAATCAATCGATAGAGACAAGTGCGCGATGTTAGCTGTAAAAAATAAGTAGTTTTTACTTTTACATTTTACGTATGATTCAATCGTTATTACATGAAAATTTCAATGACTGATCTTTGATGTACTCGTACATTCTGAAGCGCGTTTACTACAGTGTGTGTAATACGTATGCGATTAAATTATTCAAATTAAACTCTAAATACATATGTATTACGGAAATGACAAGTAGACGATGTAACTCTTTTTTTCATAATTACTTTTATAAAAAAGTATTATTGACTGGTCAGTAATTTACTCACCAGAGTCCAGTAAGTTATTACTAGCGACTTTAGTATTGTATTTCTATATTCTAATATACAGGGTGAGAAAAAGTATGGAAACCCCAAAAGTTTTCGAAAACTACGCATTTTAGAAACAAATGTTTGAGACAAAAGTTGTGTGGTTTCAAGGAGGACATAAGATTTACAGAAAAGCATGTTTTTGCCAACCTCACGTATCTGTTTACTGATATTAGTTAAAATAAACAACAAGAAGTTATATTGAAATTGTATTCCTCACACGCCGACGTGGAGAAACCAACGCAGAATTACCGAAAAGCGTTTATTATTATTATTATGAATTATGATAAGTTGCATTTTATACCCCGATGGTATCATTGGTTTGACCTTGGATAGTCGTTTGAAGGTTACATGAAGGTAATCTTGATTTTTGTAAATAAAAACCTGCATTTTTTATTATATCTTCTTTTTCTATTAATTAAATGGAACAACTTTTGTCTGAAACATTTTTTTATTTGTCTAATAATTTTTGAGATATTCAAAGAAAACTTGGCAACTTTTTCAATATTCACAAAATTCAAAAGTTGTCGCAATAACTGACACAGTATATTTCTTAATTAACACACGACGCACAGTGGGGCAAAGTAGCACGTTTTCGTTCAAAACAACTTTTAGCCAAAAGTATACAACCGATTGTAATGATTTTGGTCTTAAATTAAAGCTTATGAAATTCCTCAGAGATCTGTCATGGCCGATTTTTGATAAACGTTTTTCCTTTTTTTTTATTTACGTGTAAATATGAGAAAATGGAAATGTTCGTTGTTTTAAGATCGCGATATTCATTTAAACTTTGAAAAATCACACGGAATTTAAAACAATTTACTACAAATTGATATTTGACTTAAATTTACGAAAAGAAGTTTTATATACAGGGTATTCCAGACCACCCGTATCAGCCAAATATCTCGAAATCCGAGAACGGCAGACAAAAACGTTTCAGACAAAAGTTGTTTGGTTTGAAGGGGGCCATAAGATGGTACCATTGGTTTGACCTTGAAGAATTATTTGAAAGTCACATAAAGATCACACCAATTTTTTTAAATAGCATCCCCTATTTTTTATTACATATTCTTGTAGCTGACCTCGAGAGCTTTCCAAAACGCTTTAATAAAGTATTTTTGTATTAAGAACTTTGAGTTATTAAAGTTTGAAAGTTCCAATATTTTGACATAAATTACAAAATATCTTGTAAAATATTCATTTTTTTATTATCTTACCTTAATACTTTTTTTAACAGAATAATGAGACAAATCAACCGGTGTAAAGAAAACACAATTGCTAAAAAAATTTTTTTTATTACTTGTTATAAAATTGTGTGTTTTCTTTACACCGGTTGATTTGTCTCATTATTCTGTTCAGAAAAGTATTAGGTAAGATGATAAAAAAATGAATATTTTACAAGATATTTTGTAATTTATGTCAAAATATTGGAACTTTCAAACTTTAATAACTCAAAAACTTCTTAATACAAAAATACTTTATTAAAGCGTTTTGGAAAGCTCTCGAGGTCAGTTACAAGAATATGTAATAAAAAATAGGGGATGCCATTTAAAAAAATTGGTGTGACCTTTATGTGACTTTCAAATAATTCTTCAAGGTCAAACCAATGGTACCGTCTTATGGCCCCCTTCAAACCAAACAACTTTTGTCTGAAACGTTTTTGTCTGCCGTTCTCGGATTTCGAGATATTTGGCTGATACGGGTGGTCTGGGATACCCTGTATATAAAACTTCTTTTAAATTTAAGTCAAATATCAATTTGTGGTAAATTGTTTAAAATTCCGTGTGATTTTTCAAAGTTTAAATGAATATCGCGATCTTAAAACAACGAACATTTCCATTTTCTCATATTTACACGTAAATAAAAAAAAAGGAAAAACGTTTATCAAAAATCGGCCATGACAGATCTCTGAGGAATTTCATAAGCTTTAATTTAAGACCAAAATAATTACAATAGGTTGTATACTTTTAGCTAAAAGTTGTTTTGAACGAAAACGTGCTACTTTGCCCCACTGTGCGACGTTTCGGCCAGTAATACTGGACCTTATCAAGTATAACCCATTTAATGTGACAGCAAGCAATCTAAAATATTTTTTTATATTCATCATACCATATCTCGATAATTGTTTATCGTGAGGAAACATGATATGGACTTTTTCACTTGATTTGGTGTCAAGAATATCATGTTGCAATAGTACTTCAATTTTTATAAACATTTGTGTATACATGAAAACTCCAAGGAGATGTGTACACAAATGTATACCAAAGTTGGAGTACTATTGCAACAGTATATTCTTGACACCAAATCAAGTCACAAAGTCCTGTATCATTTTTCCTCACGATAAACAGTTATCGAGATATCGTATGATGATTATTGAAAAAGTGGCCAAGTTCTCTTTGAATATCTCAAAAGATATTAGATAAGTAAAAAAATGTTAATGTAAAATTAATGTAATACAGCTTTTAGAACAAAAATTTGTCATTTCAAGGCAGCGAGACGCTCATCAAGCAATACACAGAGTTATTTAAATAGATTTGCAACTAAAAATAGAAATAACTGTGGTGAAACAAATGGTGAAAGATGAAAGAAGCATTAACTTCACTGTTTTGAAATTTTACGTGAACGATAATATACAACGTAAATCTGTATAAGCCGCAGATTGCAATAGCTATATTTATAAGTACTGCCGGAGAGTGCGGTTTCTCTGCAATGAGAAGAATAAAGATGTGGCTGTGTTCGTGCAGGAGTTAGCAAGGATTTTCTCAACTATCACTATAGCTTTATATAGAAAAAAATTACCACGGAACAGATATTGAATATTTTTTTACAAAAAGATCAGAAGGGTTTCACTTAAATAAAACAATATCTACCTGTCTATTTTACTACAAAAATGGCATTTGTAATATCTTCCGTTATAAGGCACAATATTTATATGGAAGTTTCATTGGGGTTAGTTTAATTGATTTTATTTTTAATTTCATTCTTATAAATTATGGGAACTTTGAAACTTCCTCTATTATCACCTAAAGGTGATGGGGTTGTAGCCCCTTTCCCTTAAAAAAAGTAATTGTCCGCCTTCAATGGGAACACTACTAATGTCAAAATATATGCACCATTACACTTTGTTCATCCCATTTCGGTCACACCGATCGTGAACACTCGCTGTGCTGCTATAAAGCCAGGTCTAAAAAGTAGCAAAGGAGCGCTCGTAACGGTTGCTGCTTATATACACACTAGCAGGGAGAACTTGTCGGGACGAGAGCAAGCAGACGATTATGATCCGAGTTAGTCCGTTGCCGATGCTTGGTGGTGGCACGTCGAGTCTTTCCGTTCTTGCCACTTGTGGTTCTTCCATCGCGAGTAGTGCAACCGTGCAGGGCGGACCGCAACCGACAACGTGAATTATTCGCGATACGTCGTGTTTCGTGTTTCGAAATAATATTTGAGCACCCGAGATAACGGTAAGTCTCCTATCGAAGACTCGCGAGACGCGGAATAGAGATGGGCGATGTTGCCTCGATGCATCGAAATTCGATGTTTCTTTAACAAATAATCGATTATTTTTATCGATGTTTTTAATGTCAATTAATTAATTATTCGATGGTTTTAGATTCGATTAAACGATTGTTCGATGCTAAGATTTGTATAATCGATCATCTCTCGTTTCTTATAGACAGGAGACCTGTTCTTTACTTACTGCACTACTGAACTAGTGCAATAAGTTAAAATGAAACAAATATATTACCTCTCATTCCAACTCATTGCACCAGTGTGCACTAGTTCAGGAGTGCAGCAATAAAGAACAGTAAAATTTGAAGTTAAATCTTCCTCCATAGAGCGGCATTGCACTTTCTACCGTTGCATTGACGTTTGACTTAAATCCAAGTGAACTGAATGCATCAGGTTTATAAGAACCGTTTATCTGGTAACTACCATTACAATTACTGTTGACTTTAATTCTAGATTTGTGTTTGAAATTTTTCACATTTAGTTTTTCATTAAATAATCAATATTTGTCGATATTTTTATAAAATGATCGATTGTTTTTTTATTCTGTTGGAAAATAATCAATTGTCTATAATCGGTTATCTGAGCAATCGATTATTTAATAATCGATTATTTTTCTTAGCATCGCCCATCTCTAACGCGGAATCTTCAAAATACTCCGCGGGGCCTTTTCGGTCGATTCCAGGATAATTTCACTCAAAATTGCCGAGCGGTCAGTCACCCTCGAATCGCGAGTAAATGAAGTCTGGTGATTTTGAGAAATTACATAATACTTCGGACATTGCGAGTGAATAACTGTTTTATTTTTTATTATTTCGACAAAAATCTGTATTTTAAGACCGACGAATAATCGACGCACAATTTACATAGTTCAAAAAGGTATAGAAAATTCACACAGAAATATTATTATTACGTAACCAAGATTCAGTCCGAACAAAAATGGAATTTTTCCTAGTAAATTGTACACGGAAAAAACATGATGTTTTATCAACAAGATCAGTGTAATTATTGAAACAACATCAGTATTAACGAATAAAAACATCAAATTGTCTTAATAGTCTGAATACTTACAATTAGTTCAACGCTTAAAATTACAATCCATCGCAAATACAAGTGGTGAATTATTTGAGTTTGCGGCAGCCCGTGACATCAACGTTTAATTCAAGCACATTCATTTTTGTTTAATTCAATAGCATTTTTTTTTCTGTGCACTAGATTCACATCGGCTCTATTTCACTTATCATTGTTTTACTTTTTACTTAACTTCAACTGAACTGGAATAAAATTTAAGAGCTCTCGCAGACAAAGTTTAAAATTAAATAGTAAAGAAGAATAAGAAGTGTATTTGCATATACAAAACAGTAAGTCATGAGACAATAATCAAACAAAACTACTCAAGCAGAGCAAAAATTAAAAAGTCATTAACGAAGTCAAGAGGACCCGGGGAAAAAATGTAGATCAAATTATACAAAATTATATCAAATTATGTATAATTATGTATAATTATACATAATTATACGTATCAAAAGAATCGTATATGCATGATTTAATCAACACGTTTATAACTTTATATTAATTTATATATAATCTTGTACGAACATGTGTACTTATATACATATAATCAGATCTAATTATATATGAACTTCGCAATGGATGAAAGAGCCGATATATCTGCTTGGATCTAGTTATATATATATAATTATAACAAATTTGATATAATTATGCATTATGAGATAAAAGAAAATATGGTGTTATACAAAATTAAAAATATTATATATAATTATGTAGAAATATATATGAACCTTTCGTGACGTATGTAAAAAAGAATCTGTATGATGCGATCTAACTAGATATAATTAGATATAATTTTATCTACTTATATGTACGAGGTGTGTCTTAAAAGTATCCGACCTCTGGATATATCTTTATCCTTGGGCATCCTACTGTGGAAAACAGGTATTCAGTATTTAAGGTGGACCCCCATCTTTAGAGTATTTAAGTATTTAAGAAGTACCCCGGACCCCCACCAAGCGGCACAACCCAATACCTGTTCGGTCGGCAACGGTATGCAGTTGTGCAAGCGTCGAAAATTCCGAGCGTCGCATTTCATAAAATTCGTTCCATGAGTGCCTACGGACATGGGCGTATCCAGACTTTTGTCTAGGGGGGGGGGGCAGAACAGGATTCACTCGTAGGTGAATTATGCAGCATAAATTAAACTACGTACTTATAAACAAATTTTTTTTATTTATATAAAAAGTAATTTTCTGGAGTCCTCGGCAAATCTATTAATTATATTATTCGTAATCTCAATGGGGATCTCATTGAGTCTAGGGGGGGGGCAGCTGCCCCCCCTACCCCCCTCTGGATACGCCCATGCCTACGGAAGAACAAAAGAATTCTCGAGGTCAAATTGTCAAAGACATCTTGGGGTTTATCAACAAAGATCCTGAGTTGCTTAAAAGAGTGCCAAGTTTTTGGCAAAATTTAATACAAATTCTCTGCTCGACTCGTTCAGTCATTGTAAAATGCGACGCTCGGAGTAGGGATACTCCCACCCTAAATACTGAATACCTGTTTTCTATAATAGGATGCCCAAGGATAAAGATATATGCCGAGGTCGGATACTTTTGGGACACACCTCGTATATGTAATAATCCAGCCAATGCAAGTAATAAAAGTCCAAAGAAAGTGCGTCGTAATTATAAAAATGAATAGGTACAAGGCTAAAGTATGTACGCCGTCTACAAAAACCGGAGAACAACTGTCATTCTAGGCGTACGCACTTTAACTTTGTGTCTGTTAATTTTTATTGTTTATTATTTATTATCGATTTCTTTGAACTTTTATCACATGACTTCATATTGCATTGGCTGGATTATTTATTAAAAACTTGCTTGAAAAGGACCTAAACCCGTGGTCAAAACGTCGCATTGTATTTTTCTTTTATTAAACACATGCCAGTTAAGGCCGACTAAAACTTACTTATTGTTATTTATTACTAGCAGCCTACAGAGATTTCTATGTTTCCAGAAATAATTACTTTTGATGTCATTTAGATTTTTAATGACTTCTGCTTGGGTAGATAACAAATTTATATGTCAAATGATAACAAATTTATTCTAACAAGTCGAAAGCGAAACAAATTTTTTTTCTGAAATGTTTCGAACTTCACAGAGCCTTTATCAGTTGGATACATACAAAATACAATAGAATAAATTAAACAAGATTTATTAAGTTAATTAAGAGAGATAACTACATGAAAATATAATAGAAAGAAGCAAAAATTAAAAATTGATAAAAATCAGAGCAAAATAAGAGGTCACATCACATTTGCAAAGAAGCGCAATAAATATAAAACTTATAAAAATGAAGTTAAAGAAAGATAGAATATGTATAAAAAGTCGAAAAAAATGTAAAAAAGAAAGGGGCAAATGGCAGGTCGCCCAGTAATCAACAGAAAAAGACATAATAAGATAATATAATAAATAAGTATCAATAATAGATTTTTTTCTTTGAAAATGGAAATGAATCAATTAATAAGAATATCGTAATAAAAAGAGTAATTGAGATAGTGAGAAAACGTATTGCGAAGAACAGAATAATTTAAAATTTAATGCGCAAAAAGAGAGAAATCAGAAAATTTGCATACGATGGAAGGAGTAAAATTCGTCGTACTTTGGATGTTTTATATAAGTAGGCAGAAAGATTAATAAACGACTAAAATTTTTATCTCTTGGTTCTTATCTCTTAACCCTTTGCACTCCTATGTCGAGTGTGACCCGACATCAGTTTTTATCTCAGGAGCTTCTTTGTCTAATCTCACTCGACATTTTTTCAAATCCAACCCAATAGATGAAAATAGATTAAATATAATTCGGAGTGCCAAGGGTTAACTATGTTCTTTTTATTAATTATGTATGCCTACTTCAATGCTGATAACGTGGAATGTGTTAAATACAAATACAACGTGATAAAACAAAAGTGGAATTCGGTATTGTTAAAAAGAAACTGAAAATATGGGACAGCGCTCGAATTTTAAATTTTACTATTGCAGCGAAACAGTTGTTGCTACTACATTTGATACAAAAAAAAATTTCGCTGTTAGAACTAATTTTTCAACATTACAACAAAACGCATTCAGCCAAACAGAAATTACGTTGCATTTATAGCCAAATACTTCGGCTATTTTACTCCTGTCATCGTCTGCTCTGATTTCTCTTTTTTGCGCATTAAATTGCAAATTATTCCTTTTTGTTGCAATACGTGTTTTTTCACTGTCTCAATCACTTCTTTTTAGTACGATCTTTTTACTAACTGATTCATTTTCACTTTCAAATAAGCCAGGGATGGGCAAGTGGACACTGCGCGCGGGCGCTCAGTTGCCCAACACGCATAGCTGTGCAATAGTGTTGGGCAATAGTGGGGAGACAATTTCGGGAAGTGAAAAGTGCGTCGCGCTTTAGAAGTATAATTTTAAAGAATGTATTATATTGTATAAATATTTTTCAACTAAAGTATTTATTATTATAATTTTTAATATTTTACTTATTTAATAAAAATGTAATGCAAACAACTTTAATAAAAATAAATATTTTATTGAAAGATGGCCTTTTCTAATTTAATTGTTGGATACATATCGGTCCTGATTCACGACATTATTGTTTATTAGAAAAACTTGGTGCTGCTAAACCGCTGAAATATACAATCTAAACTTACAATTAATTCTAATCCCTATTTCATAACCCACACGCGCGCGCGCGCACGCATGCACAAAAGTGCTTGTGAGGAAGGAGGTAAAGCGCCATTTGGTTTAGCAGCGCCCAAGTTTTAAATAATAATATCGTGAATCAGAACCGATACGTATCGAACAATTAAATTAGAAAAGGCCATCTTATAATAAAACATTTATTTGTATTAAAGTTGTTTGCATTATATTTTTATTGAATGAGTATTAAAAATTTGTCTCATTAATATTATTGTCTCCTTCATTTCTTTCGGTAAAATCTTATGCTCGATTGTTTGGATATAACATTTTAATATCAAAAATAATAAAGTATCTAGTTTGTATAAATATCCATTTTAGTTGGCGCAATTTGATGATATCATTACTTTTGTAGAAACAATAGAAATGTATTATTTTTTTCTAACAAAATATATTCAAATAATTATATTATTTACCTTTTTACCTTTTTTCTTTAAAAAAGGTTGTATGATAAACGCCGGTACGCTCAAGAGTTCAAATTTTAAACATATTAATGTTGTAAAAGATAATATCGTACTAATGTTCATAATCATATCACGTGTTTTCTTTGAGCACTCACACGCTAAAGCGTTCTATCTTTTGCTCATTATATGTCAGAGAAAGTCGCTTTCAGTGTGTACGAGTTAGAAGCAATGCAGCCGAACTTGATTGTGTTGCTGCCCGCGGGCGCCCACTGCCCGATATCAGCATTTTGCTCATCCCTGAAATAAGCAATTTAGTACAAGTATTTGCAGGGTTGAGAAAGTTACTTTATAAAAGTATCTAGTTACAGTTTTTTCGCTAAAAATGTAACTAGTTACAGTTACAAATTACCAATTCTGAAAAGAAACGCGTTACAGTTACAGTTACGCAAAAAGTAACAACGAATCGTTACTTTGCAGTTACTTTCATGCAATGAACATAAAAATATCAAATCTGCATTTGACTTGTAATAAAGCGTCGATAAAGGCGTTTATGTGCAAATGAAAGGCCTAATGTAATCTGTCGAGGTATAAAATACATATAAAATAACTACTATATATGTATATAATGTAACTGAGTTAAGTTACAGTTAGAGACGGGGAAAAAGTAACGAAGTTAAGTTAGAGTTACCATAAAAAAGTAACTGTAAACGTTTATTACAAGTAACGAGTTACTTTCCATCCCTGATTATTCGTTAACTTCAGTAAAATTAGTATTTCTTAACGACTGATAGAATTTGTTAAAGCAGCATAAAGTATGCTGTGTCGGCAGTTAGTTGTTCTGCGTGTAGAAAAATCGTAGCCCTGCGGAAGCGCGTGGGATTCGAGGCGCAGTTCGACGAAGTCGCACATCTCACGCCGGAAACGCATGTGTCGAGAATACCAATCTTTCTGTGACGCCGTTGATTTCTGCGCGCGGTACAGGCTCTCCTGTAGAATCGGACAGCTCGCAGCGGTTATAAAACTGAAAGGGGTCGTTGCGCCGGTCGTTGCCGGACGTTGCCGGTCGTTGCCAGCTAGGGTTGCGGCCTTGACGCTCGGGGACGTCATTGCCCTCGCTGCGGCGGATTGTAAATAAATTAGACCCTTTGATCGCGGTGCTTGACTAAAATAGTCGGTGGAAGAAACTCAACGCGGAGGAATCGAGAGCTGGTTGACACTCATAAAACTGCGGCGGTTCGCAGCTCCCGCGTTGAGGGCAGACTCTCATGGCGCCGTCACATGGAGCGGAATAGCGTAACGCGAAACGAGAACGAAACCAATCACGAGCGTTCCGCAGTTTTCAGTAGGTTTTAGCGGAATAACTTTTCGCAGTCGCGCAGTAATATATGCACATATCTGTACACACACACACACATGGGATGCGACTAATCTCAAATAACAGGACACTTCCAATAAGTGCAATAACGTAGTGCAATAAAAATGTGGTTGTATGTTAAACAAGATAAGCTGCACTAAAAGAAAAATGAGCAATATTAAATTATCACAATTAACACACACATAAAGTATATGTATGTACACACAGACATACATATTCCGTCAATTTTATTGCGTTGAACGTGAACCCCTAAATCCCCATGGAGCGGAATGAGCATAAACTGAACGAGCAACTCATCCCTAAAACGACCTTTAAATATTGTTTTTATCGCTCGTTTTTCCATTATCTTGTACATAAATATTGAATTAAATGCATTTCTTATTAGAAATACTGATTAAAATGTTAAAATTTGTGAAATGAGTTTTAAGGTGATTTCAACCTATTTGAAATAATGATTTGTAATTGGCTGCCCAAAGTCTGCGGTGCACTCGTTACGCTCCATGGGGATGGAGGAATTTGGAATCCGCGTAAAAAAAAACCTCGGAACGCATCGTGATTAGTTCCGCTTTATGTGACGGCATCCTCACGTCCGGCGCGGAATGGAAGCGTGACTCAAGAGGAAACCCCGCGTGGAAACTTTTACTTACATGAAAAAAATTGGGCGCGTCATTTTGCAATTGTCGCGCGCAACGTGATACGCAAGGCGATTATGGTATGGCCCAAATCGAGGTGTCTGTGTATCAAATATACAGGGTGTACCTAAACTGGCGAAAAATATAATTTGCCACTTTGCCATCCCTGAGCGCGCGAAATTCTAGCCTCGATATGTTTTCGCCAGTTTAGGTACACCCTGTATAAGGCCTGATTTCACCAACGTTGCTTAACTTTAAGCTTAGTTTAAATCATTCTTTACCACTTTCCAACTGTTACTTTAGAAAGAGTGAAACGTGAATTAAGCTGAGACTAAAAGCAAGCGACGTTTGGTGAAATCGGGCCTACGTCGTGTTGAGACTTGTTAACGAGAGGAACATAAATTTTCAAGAATGGAGATTCTCTCTCCCAAGAGCCTATTATTCGGCGCCTCCTTGACCCCTATTTCTAAATTTAGCGAAACATTCTATTCCCCGGCTGTAAACACCGCGAGCACGTGGCATGCGTGTATGCATGGGCGTATCCAGACTTTTGTCTAGGGGGGGGGCAGAACAGGATTCACTCGTAGGTGAATTATGCAGCATAAATTAAACTACGTACTTATAAAAAAAAATTTTTTATTTATATAAAAATTAATTTTCTGGAGTCCTCGGCAAATCTATTAATTATATTATTCGTAATCTCAATGGGGATCTCATTGAGTCTAGGGGGGGCAGCTGCCCCCCCCCTGCCCCCTCTGGATACGCCCATGCGTGTATGTGCGTGTTTATTAGCTATTATTCATTGCCGTCACGGGCGCTCGAAAGTTCGTGCGGCAAAAGTTTAATATGCTGTATAAAATTTTCGTGATGGCACATGTGTCCGGTAAGAAAATTCCAGGACGGCCGTCGTTCATTCCAGTCCATTACGTTTCACACGTGGCGATTCACACGCGTGTAATGGTGGCGCGTAATCGTCGCTGAGAAGGATTTCAAAAGCAACTAAAAAAAGAAGAAGAAAGAACGTTTCCTCCTCGAAAGGAAACATTTTAAATGTCGTGCACACGCAGGCTATCGTATTCTCGCGAATACAAAGAAACGCAGAGCTCCTAACAATCCTTTTCATCTGTCAGAGGAAACCGTGTCGAGATATTCACGATTGTCATTTTCTCTCGCAGAATGACCATTGGTGGCCAGTAACGTTTCGTCTTTTCTCTTCTCTTCATCTCTCGAGTTACACTCACACTCGTTCTTCTGTCGATTTGATTTCAGTGTGGAATCACTCGTTTCCGCCCGTATCATTTCCTGGCTGATGCAGAACGATCCGTTCGGCTCCGCGTAATGACAGCCACCAGCTGAAGGTAAATTGCTCTCGAGAACCACGGTGCGGGATAATCGTCATGGACCTTACTTCAGAAAGCAACGGAAATGGAACCGGTAATGGCGTCCACAGGGGCACGAAAGGTGACCTCGACAATGGCAACGACACCGCATGTATGTCGTATCTTTCGAAACTGGCTGCGATGGACATTGAATTCAACGATGTGACATATTCAGTGAACACTGGTTCAAAAAGTAAGAAATCATTTATTAAGATTCACATTCAAGAGACCGATATGTACGTAATTAATATCACCTTAAAAACTTGCCTTTTTTAAAAAAAGGTGAAAAAAGGGTCAAACATAAGCGTCATCCGAGCAATAACTATGTGATTTAATTGTTTAAAAATATTTTGTTACAAAAAAACATTTCTATTTTCTCTACAAAAGTAATGATATTGACAAATTGCATTAACTATAACAGCGGATATTTGTACACGTCAGAATATTTTATTCAATATAATGCAAATGTAAACAAATTTAATACAAAGTCAGAATAGCTTATCATCAACCTCGCCTCAAAATGAATAGATTAATATTATTAGCGATAAAAGTCTCGTGTTATTCATATTTTAAATCGGAATAGTTTCTTCGCATGCAAGATAGATAGTTTTATGATACGATATAAGCCTTCTTTTTTGGGAATTTTGTGTTTTAAGACCATTTTCAGAATATTATATTATAATATGATTAACATGTATATATAATCATTTATTGCTTTCTCTTAGGGTTACAAGTGTAACTCCTACATAATTAATACCGCAATACAAAATACAAACGACAATTTTACAGTTTTACCATACTCGTACATTTTGCATACACAATATTTCGCTCTTACAAATTAACTTTTCTTCGCCTTAGTATTTACCCGCCTAGTCTATACACACACGCGCGCGCCCACTCTGGACTTCCGTTTCCGTTTACAAACTCCTTTTTCCTAATTTCTCTTTATACTCCTTCTCTCATTCTCTCCCTCCTCCCCTCTCACTCATTCTCTCACACTCACTCTCCATCCATTCCTCCACCCTCCTGGTTCTTTCCATAGACCCTCCAACATCCTCAGCTAACTCTCCTCCCCTCCTTCTTCTCCTGACACTTCCTCCACCATGTCCTGCCATGTTTTTCCCACCCCCCAGTCCACACACTCCTCCCACATATGCTCCCCCCTTTCACATATCCTGCATTACCTCTTCTCTTCATCTACTATGTATATTTTCCGCCTCTCATTCCGCACCCCAATCTATATTTCGCTATCCTTTGCCACCTGCTCTCTCCCCAACCCTTCTTTAAATACCCCGGAACTCCTTTTTCCTTCACCATTTTATACCATTTGTTGTATCTGGACTCCTTAATTTCTTTCCATCTTTCTTCCCTCTGTATCTTCTTCTCCCGCGATGTGCACAATCCGACCGGCAACCTCCACGTGGTGCACATTGGGTAACGCTAATACCGGCGGTAAACATCATTTTTCAAGAAAATGCATGGTTCGCTTCAAAGTCATGTAACTCGGTCAAGAAAAATCGTAGGAAAATTT